AAATAATATTTCGCGACTTATAGTTTGTCTTGAAACTCTTTCTGGACTTTGCACATGTCATTGAAACCTAAAGCCGTGTCACATAATCATACTATTAAACCCCGATTTTCCTCGTCCATAATCGATCCTTTACAATCCGTTTTAATACACGTGTTTTATTGCTGAGAACGACGTTAAGAAAAAACGAGTGTCATACGGCGGGAAATGAATCAACCAGAATCTATTTTAAGAGTAAGTACTATTTCTAAAGGTCTTCTCACGTTATGGTGTTAAGTATTATTTCGTTTTGTACCTTCAGTTTTGTTTGTAATGTCCACCGTGACGTTATTGCTGTAGCGAATCCCACTCCTGCACTTCCACACAGAGCCCTGGTCGAGTGTAGAGTTGATCCTGAGTATTACGTTGTGTTGTTTGAGGGAGGAGCTGACAGTGACACGTTCTGTCACAGCGCGGGACTCGTTGGATGTGGTGGTGGTGTTGAGTATGGAAGTAGATACGTCGGCATCACTGTTTGTCTGGAATATTTCAACATTGTTTCTGTGCCAGATGACAGTTATAAGCCCTCCACTCTGTGTGGATGTACAAGACAGTGTGAACTCGGCTCCATCCACGGCAGACTGTGGGTAGCTCGTCAGGCGGATAGTGGCAGACGCTGGAACATAGATTTGACCCTTCTGGTAACATCGTCTGTTCTTGTACAGTATTTCCACTTGACCACAACAAGTGGAACTGATTATTCTTCGCTCACATATCAGACACTTACCTGACGCCCAATGACCCGCACAAGAAAGTACTCCAGCCAGAAACGCCATGGCGACCATTGATGTTCTCATCTCAAGTGGACGGCGAATTGGTGACACCTGAGAATGGTAGGTGAGGTGACGTGGAATTGGGTTTAACATCGTAATTAAGAATTTTTCGCTCATGTGACGACGTGCTTGCGTGTGTATGTGTGCCTGCTTGTACTAGCCCAGACTTAAGCTGGTTTTATAGTGCTAGCCCAATGAGATACCAGTTAAACATGAATACCCCACTTAGAAACAAACTGACTCCGAACGGACCAGTTCTTCGGGTACGCCAGGCAGGGACCAACAAGTACCATATTTTAACGTCTTTCGGTTTGACGTGGCCGGGGATGGAACCCACGACCTTCCGCTCTCCGGGCGGGCGCTCTAACCACTACACCACGGAGGGGGTCCCTGAGAACTAAGGCTGGATATTGCCCTGATTCTCAAATCGCGATATATTGCAATAATTCAAGAGATATTGACATACATATTGTGATATATTGACTGGAAGGTTTCTGTCCAAGTGCGTATATCATAAATTCATAATAGCTCTCTGTGTGTGACATCATCTTCTAAGTTGCTGTTACACCATACTGTCAGGCTCCCCGTCCCCATTGTGTATGAATGTATGTCAATGGTTTACAGATAAATAAAACAGTATAGAGCCTTAAAGTAGAATGTTTAACTGAAGTACTGTCATGCAACAAAGGTTTGCGAACATAATGATACAGGTAATAGTACAACATGATTTTCATGTTCAGTGTTGTTTGCTTCAACAGAATGCACTTCAATGCAGTATGTAATTATTGTTACTGTATGTCAATGATTCATTCAGATTCAGCTTCAGTATTAACATGTGTAAACATGAAATATTGCAAAATGAAACAAAAACATGATTAAGGTGAACTACTTGAGCTTAAAATCTCATGTGACCTCCAGTAACTAAGATCCTTGAATAGATTGTCATTATACAGTCCTACACAATTTATAATACCTAGACCTTTATGATAGCATATTTCCCATTATGAAACTAACCAAAATAACAAAATAATGTGAAATGGTCACTCAGAGCCAGAGGCTCTACTAATAGGTCCAAATAAAAGACCGGTCAAATCTTAGAAGGGCATTTAGAAGTGGAATGCATACGAAAAGCAAGATTTATGGACGTCAACTTTTTTATTGTGAATAACACGACGTTTCGGAGTGTATGCTTGATCCTTCACAACAAGAAGTTGCTATTCGTAACTCGAGCTTCTCTCAAACAATTGGTGCATTTGAGGTCACTTAATTCCTCCAAAACGTCACATATTAAACCATTCAAACCCACAAAGCTTAATAAATAAAAATCATGTATGTGTATTAGTACATTACCCCTACATTACCTTCGACCGTCACTTTGCCACGTTTACTTACCTTGTCAAGAACGAAACTGCTCATGGTCATAAATGCATATCCAATACTCAGCCCATAGGTACAACCACAGCCATCATGGAGACACACTCCCGCCTGTAACACCAGACCAGGAAGTGTTTCAAGTGACAGCTCGGGTAGGCAATGAAAAACCGGTTTGAGTTGTGTGGTCGTAGGAGCTAAATAAAGCTGCATCTCATAATGTAGTAAAAAGTGACAGTGTGTGTTTTATTCACAGGCAACCAACTTCGTCATATAAAAGATATTAACCCGTGATTTGGGGATATGAAATATATATGGATGCCTAAATATATGGAATGTATGAATTCTGTCGCCCGAGTGAGTGATCAAATATCTCAGGTGAGATATACAGGTACACTCATCACGGACACCACACCAGGACGTGATATGCTGTGACAGTTCGGGTAGGCATTACAGGCCTGTTTGTGTGCAGTGTTTTGTTCACAGGACCTAAATAGAGCATGTCTACCTGCTGGCTGCACATTGTGCTTTATGTATGTGTTATTCGATCCCAAAGCTGTTATGTTAAATTGCAAATAAGCCCTTCCTGTTATCCTAGCTCTCGAATATGGCAGCTATGTGGTTCAACACGGCTGTCACCGTGCCACTCATGCTTCACTCATTTTGTCCGGGTTTTTCCTCTTCGTTGGGTATTCTTTGCACAACCTGTGGACATAACATATTTAGATATTCACAAATAATTCGTCATTGCTGGGTAACGATTAGTTTTTATTCCTACGTATAAATATAACATACTATCGATGTGTAATCACAGATTCTAAGTCAAGTGCAGATTCTAGTCAGATCCGGGATTCGAACCCAGACTGTCAGAGCGAGGCACAGAATCGCCACCACACAAAGTCAGCGATCTAAGCCACTCAGCCAACGAGGTTTCCACCAAATATAAAAGTATGAAAAGTGGCATGTTATCTTCTTTAAGGCATTATGTATTCACACTTTAGTTTTATGCTTGTAAAGACACACTTGTAAATCTTAGAATGTCTAAATTACTACTGCATGTATGCTGTCCATTTTACCAGGTGGCATATGTGAGTCATTGATTCAGTGATTTAGATAGTATATCAGGTATATATATTCTATACTTACACGTGTCACCAATGCTCATATGCGTTGCCATTACTTGAAACATAAGTTTGACTTTCTCAAACTGACTATGTTGTTATTTGTCTATATTATCAATATTTCACATCATCATTCACACTTTATTGAATCAAGGAGAACGACTCACTTCAGATTAAATATTTACGATGCTGCTCCAGGGATTGAACAGCGAGTGTACAAATGTATGACGGTACAACAGTGAGTGAGTGAGTTTAGTTTTACGCCGCACTCAGTAATAGTCCCGGTGGCGGTGGCGGTCTCTAAATAATCGAGTCTGGACCAGACAATCCAGTGTTAACAGCTCGATCTTTGCAATCGGGAACCGATGACATGTGTCAACCAAGTCAACGAGCTTGACCACCCGGTCCCATTAGTCGTCTCTTACACGGTACAACAGAGCGACAACAGGTACATGTTCGATGATATTGACATGATGTGTACTCGATGGGTTACACCCAACAAATAAAGCTGAATTGTTGTGGGATTGTGTTTGCAGTATTGAATCTCTACAGCCTAGTAGAACTTCAGTATTGACAGGAAGTAACACGATTTTCCTGTCAAAACCAAGGTGGTTATTTCAACCGCTACAAACAGAATTAACATAAACACATCACGTATTGTGAGTGGATGTGCACTTTCCTGAGACCTGACAGTTTTATCTATATTCATCAGTGCTCCTTTCATTGTGTGTAAGTGTTTTCTGTGTTACACATACATGTATACAATGTGGCTGAATGTAACATGTTGACGGCCATGATTCACCGTACACATACAGTGTCACATAGAATCTGGCGTTATGTGTGTATGAGACTATATCGATATCACACAGTCAAAGGGAGGAATATTAATGCCTGGATTAGATCAGCTGCAAATCTGGCACTGCTAGGCATGTCAATACCCCTATTTACTTATATTTTTATTGACAGTTTTTGTTGTTTTAAAGAAAACTTAAATAAAAGAACATACCAATCTGAAACTACTAGACATACCAATACCCCTATTTACTTATATTTTTATTGACAGTTTGTGTTATTAACGTGAAATACTATACAAATCTGAAACTACTAGAAAAGTCAATATCCCTACTCACAATATATTTGCATTGACAGTTGTGCTATTAACATGAAAAACTGTACGAGTCTGAAATTGCTTGGCATGCCAATACCACTACTCACATATTTCTTCATTGAAAGTTTTGTTATTTAAAAGAAAAACTGTAGTGAGTTGGATGATAAAGGCGAGGTATTTTCCTCACGACCATAGTCTTTATCTGAAATTGACTTGCGTTGTTTTACTCACAGCAGGAAAATGAACATTGTGTTTGCTGGGCCGTAATACGCCGTAATTTAACACCGAGAAAGCATCACTTCCTATGGTTGGTCGTGTTCTGGGTTATAAACAAGATGTCGAGACTCAGCATCAACTGACTGTATTGAAGACAGAGTATAATGGCCGCACACAACTTTGCTACAAGCAAATTTCCTCAAGAAAATCATTTGCGTCATGGTATGAGAATAGCATGTTATATATGAAACAGTCACATATTGTACATCGAGAATTTAATAAACTGAACAAGTTCAATTATGTAAAAAAAAAGAAAAGAAGTTATCAAACAGCGACAAATACACCGAGCGTCAAGATATATATCATCAACTGACTGAATTGAAGACAGATTGTTAGGCCCGTATACAACATTACGAAAATAATTCAAGAAAACAATGGAGTCATTGTATGAGAATGAAGCAAACAGACACAAAGGAAGTTATCAAACAGTGCCCAAGACAAATACATCGACATATCCGTCAAGACATTGAAGACAGAGTTTAAAGGTCGTAAACAACATTACAAAAGGCAGATTTGTTCAAGAAACCAATGGATTCATTGTATGAGAATGAAGAAAACTTGAACTAAGGAAGTGATCAAACAGTCAAAAAGACAAATACACCGGGATATCCGCGTCTAAACTATATACAAGAGAGCAATGATGAACGTAGGAGAGTTAAACGTTACGTCACGTCACCTTGAGATTATTACGATTAAATAGCAATAGATATTGTTTGTATGATTAACAGTTCTGACTAATGCTGGCATTACTCATGCTGACTCCCAGAGATGTCATGTCGCATGTTACCATGGATACCAGAGTAAGATATAATGTTGTAAGTCCCAACCGAATGGTCCTTGTATTACTCCCTTGTCGAACCCCAGGCAAGGGAACAATGTCTACATTCATTAACATTCATTTAACTTTGCCCCAGTTTTATCCTCTTCAATCCGAACACAGGCAGGGCAACATTAGATACATCTTTTAGCGTAATTTTGTATGACGTGGCCAGTGAATCGCACCATCAATCAGTTTGTTGAAACAACATTGAACGCATCAACTGTGTAAAAACAGAGCATCTGAAACATGACTGTATCATTCTGTATGAAGAGGGTCGTAAAGTAGCCTAGTGGTTAAAGTGTTTTCTCGTCACGCTGAAGACCTGGGTTCGATTCCCAACATTGGTACAATGTGGGTACATATCTGGTGTCACAGATCGTGATATCTCTGGAATATTGCTAAAAGCGGTGTAAACCTAAACTCAGGCCCTCACTCGTATGAAGATTCCGGTTTCTCAGTAGAAGATGGTGGGTTTTCATACTGGCTGTCAGCGGGCCCTGTGTTGTAGTAGGCCACGGACTCCTCTGTGGTGACAGGCTGAGAAGCCGGAAGCCTCTTACTTATGAGTCCAGGATCCAACTCAGAGTAATTGTTGTCAGTGTCAGGGTCACGTGACATGGTGCTGTACATCTGGCTGTTGCTTTCTGCGACGTCTGGAACAACATGTGACTTTGTCGGTGATGATGAAATATATCACATACACACAACAAAACGTTTAGCATCACTCATGCATGATAGAGAGAAATGATCTACAGAGTATCATTTATCCATTACGACTGCCAAATATGAAAATAGTTCGTAGATATTGAAAGGTCAGGAACATGTTGTACAAACAATTAAAAAAATCAATACATAATATGACACGTTATGAAATATTCCCTTTTAAATAAGGGATGTTGCTTATTTATTTGTCAGGGAGCAAACGGTTCTTTAAAACTTCTCATATTCAAGGGACCTATTTGCTTCAGTATATGTCCAAATACGTCAGAAATGCTATCCCCTGTTTAATGTATTCAGCAAACATTCGGTGTATCCTCTCTTGCCATACACAATGGAACAATGCCATGGTGGAATGCGAATGTGGACAGAAAGAGCCTCGTGTATGACTAATATAAATCACGTACCCTTCTTATACTTCCTGACCAGTAACACAGAGATAAAACTGGCGACGACGATGACGATGACGACGATGATGCTGGCAACTGCAGCGGTGAGGGGTAAAATACTTCCATCTGAAACACAGATCACACAGTCAACTACATTTGAATGTTTGTATCAGTCAGTGTTGCCCTGGCATTCAGTTTTCTGTACATCAAGTGTACAACTGAGTATGAAATGCACACTGCTATTTTAGAAAGTGGTCAAATGTATCACATGTTACATTTGGGATTACACTTTCTCAGTAAAGTACAGATTCTAGTACATTTTTTTAGGGGGTGGGGTTTGAGTCCCATCCCGGATTCGAAACCACACACTCAGAGTCAGGCACCTAATCGCCAGCACTCAGAAAGTCAGACGCTTTGAGTGGCTTTGGCTGAGCGGTCTAGGCATCTGACATTGTTGGCTGGCGATTAGGTGCCTGACTCTGAGGGTGTGGGTTCGAATCCCGGATGGGACTCAAACCCCACCCCCTCAAAGAGGTACTAGAATCTGTACTTAACTGAGAAAGTGTAATCCCAAATATAACATGTGTTACAGCTGCGTAGAATCTGTGTTTGAACACGTTCCAGTTGAAATCTGTTTCTCCGCATGATATTCGTAACATATACTTCAAAGTTAACCAAATGTATTATGAAAAGATGGTACTGTCAATAAGCCATGAACGACGTCATTGACCTTAAAGAAATATGAAGCTTGGAGTTGTTAGTGAAATATTTCAAAGAGTACTCGAGAATGAAGTGACTGTTGACCTGGTCCTCGGATATTTAACTCTGAGGAGATATTTATCTCTTGAATACACCCGTTATAAAAATAATTCTCCAACAGTCTGGGTGACCAGTGAAGATCCGAGCTAGAATTGGTCTTCAACAACCCATGCTTGTCGTGAGGGGTTGCCACAATTCACATTAGAGGATGTTCAATTGGTAAAATGTTGCATGTGTTGGTTGAATCAGTTGAAACATTCTGAGTCACCAACTCTTATCAAGCTGATACACCATAGTTATGCAATTGCACCCCATTCTGTTGCGTACAGAAATATCGCCATAATGAGATACGTTTGAAAAAGATAAAATCCTACAATGAGGAGTCAAGTCACAAATCACAATCCTTTTAACACATGATATCGTCATGAGCAAATGTAATGGCATACCTTCAGAGGTTGTAATAGTGGTTACAGCATCCCCTGCAGACAGACAATCACTGAGTTTTATGTTATAAAATCACAGAATAAATGTTATGAATTCACTAAGTTATACGTTATGAAATCACTGAGTTATATGTATGAAATCACTGAGTTAATGCAAGGAAATCATTGACTTAAATGTTATGAAATCACTGTTCTATGTTATGAAATCACTGCGTTACATGTTATGAAATCAATGTGTTATGAAATCAATGTGTTATATGTATTATGAAATCACAGACTTAATGTAATGAAATCAATGTTATACATTATGAAATCAATGTGTTATACATTATGACATCACTGGGTTTAATGTGTCAGTTTAATCTTCATTAGATGTAACACTCTTATACACGAAAGGTTTATTTACCCCTTATATATCCCACCACGTCAAGCGTGATGTTATTGCTGAACAGGTCTCCAGTTTGACATCTCCACACAGAGCCCTGGTCGAGTGTAGAGTTGATCCTGAGACTGACGTTGTGTTGTTTGAGGGTGGAGTTGACAGTGACACGTCCTGCAACAGACTGGTACTGGGGGGAGCTGGTGTCGTACACCAACATGGACGTTAGTAGAATGGTCTTGAATATGTTCACTGAGTTTCTGGACCAGACAGTTTCCTGGATGACATTTGTACTTTCGCAAGTCAGTGTTAGGATCTGTCCATTATTGACTGGATTTCTTGTTGCTTTCACTGAGGTAGAAGCTGAAAATGGACTATTATTTACAAATGATATACTGTTCCACACGCATATATTCCAAGATATAAGATGGTTATCTTTTGTTAGTTTGCAAGATCATGTTGTTGTACGCCCCATTCTATTACTTTAGGACGATCCATGATATACTGAAGTATCAGTTTTGTTGTAAGTTTAGTGCTTAATAAGATTCAGTCGAAGTTCGTAACATTGTGCCTAAACAATAACTAGTTGTCAGGAATGCGTTACTGTCTCATGTAAACAGTTGTATAGAATTTATTATACCTTTTTGCTTTCGGTGTCAAGTGTAATCTTCCATCTGCCAGAAAAGCTATTGGCTGACTCGGCCCAGAGTGGACATTCCAGGACAACTCGGGATCTATTTTTTACCGTCGTTGTGAACACGTTAGCAACAAATGTATTGATTTGAAAAGCTGGATAAGTTTAGAATACTAAAATGATTCATCGTTTAACATTTCATTATTTTTTGTTTAAATTATTTCGCAGACAGATTTCTGGATTGACTTTCCGTTTTTCCGTTTGGAAAGTGACACACACTGGAAAGTCCACTGTGTTATTTTTCAAGTGAACTGGCTTGAATTACATCTGTGCTGTCAATAGTGATGTTATTGCTGGAAGTGTCGGCACACGCGACATCTCCAAACAGATTATTAATGATTTTAACAAAGAGTAGAGAGTAGTTGTTGAGTGGTGGATATGCTTGTTTCAAATCACATTGAATCAACATATAATCAAATGGCGAAGAGTCAACTCACAAAAGTCGTGATAAGATATATCCTAAGTATAAGTTATTGTACAATAGTAAGTGTACTTCGGCTAGTAGATTTCGAATTTGGGACACTTTACACTTTGAAGTGTGGACAGTGGACTGCTGCTATTTCCTCAACTCCCACCACTGCGACACGGAATAGTATTTCTACTGCCAATAGTATAACCAGTGCTACGGCTATGACTGTGACTACCTCAACAAAGACTACGACTACTGCCACTACTCAAAGCAACAACGCATTACATACGATCATGAGGATGTGTATGATGTATGATAGGTTAGGAATGGTGCAGGTTTAGTGAATTTTTCACCTGAAAATCATTGGAAGTAAAAAAAGGAATTACATTGGAAACATTTTGGAGTCATCGAATCTGGAAATATGCTCGACCTGTCTACCATAAAGCATCTTGTAAGATTTCATGAAGCAGTGAATGCAATTATCCCAACACCTTTGAGTAAGAGTCCTGTAAAGCTCTGACTAAAGATGAAATTAAGCATGTTCTAAGGTATCTCAAAAGTTGTGACAGTAGATGACAAATGTTTACGTGCTGGAATATATCCGAAATAAGGAGAATTTGGCTATTGGAGGTTGTCAACCACACTCTTTCAAGACTTTCTATCCTAAAGTGGAGTCACGTGATTCATACTATTGGATACTATGTTCCTCGTCCAGAATCAAACCTTTACGATCCCTTATAAGGTGAAATATTGCTGAGTATGGCTTTACGACAAAACGAGTTACATAAGTTGGGAAATGAATCAACAAGAATCTGGGTATTGCATTTATTCGAAGCTATCATTTCTAAAAGATGCATCACATATTTTTCCGCTTCTACCTTCAGAGTTGTCTGTAATCTCCACAGCGACGTTATTGCTGAAACGACTCCCACTCTGGCACTTCCACACAGAGCCCTGATCGAGTGTAGAGTTGATCCTGAGTATCACGTTGTGTTGTTGGAGGGAGGAGCTGACAGTGACACGTCCTGCCACAGCGCGGTTTTCTGATAAAGTGGTGTCGGGTGCCTGTATGGAAGTAGATACGTCGGCATCACTGTTTGTCTTGAATATTTCAACATTGTTTCTGTACCACCTGACACTTATCAACGCACCGCTCTGTATGGTTGTACAGGACAGTGTGAACTCGACTCCATCCACGGCAGACTGCGGGTAGCGCGTCAGACGTATAGTGGCAGGCGCTGGAACATGTATCATGGCATCATAAAATGTAATGTACTTCTACATTGATCAGTTGGAACTCATTATAGTTCACTCGTATGTTGGACACTGACCTGACGTCCCACAACTCGCACACAAAAGCACCACAGCCAACCACATCATGACAACAAGTGACAAATGGCGAACAGATGGTATCTGTGAAAATACGATATTAAAGAACCAATAAACTTTGTTTTTGTTACTCTTTTAACCATTACATATGAAAGATTTGTGGTTAGTCTTATGCGGAACACCAAATTTATTCTTTAAAAACCTGTGGTTAATTAATACCGAGCGATTAAAAGTGGCCAAAAAGTCGCCTGCTTCCCTCTCGCCCGCCAACGAAACCACAGACAGGTTACGTAACTCTGTCGCCAGAGCACTGCAGTGACGTCATATGAGGAACGATTTTCAGTTAGTTGTATAGAAAGTGTGTAGCACGCTCGTCATTTTGATGATTTCTCGACATCAACGACGACATGCCGAATCGTTGCTTTGTCGTCAATTGCCCTAGGGGTCGGGCGATGGTGTCCCCATGCACAGATTTCCACAGGACCCCGCAGCTCGTGCTAAATGGGTTATGTTTGTGAGTGCGAAGCGAGCGTTGTGGAAGCCTGAAACGATATCTTACTTGTGTTCAGATCGCTTCACGGAAGTTAAAGAATCAAAACTACTTACTAGTTGTAGTAAAATATGCATATGATTGATGACCATAAAGATTTTCTATGACACAACTTGTAACATAACGATTTCTTCCTCGGAAGTGAGGTTGTGGTCGAAGTAACAATAATATTGTAAGTAGTATTATTTGATACCCACCTCGCTGCCACGAGAGAAATTGTTATGTTATACGCTATGTCATGCAAAAATCCTATTGGCTATCAATAAAATACATATTTTATTACCAGTAGAAAAGTAGTTTTGATTTTAGAACCTCGGTGAAAACAAACCTAAATACCATTTATCCTCAGACTGGCGGATGTTCCTGACAGGGCGCCGCCATTTTTAAAAATAAAAAAATCTGTTAGAATTAATGAGATTATAGTTTGTTTTCATCAAGTTAGAAAATCAAGACTACTTTCTACTCGTAGTTAAATATGTATTGGAATCTTAACCAAACGGATTTTGCATGACACAACTTATAACATAACGATTTCTTCCACGGAAGCGAGGTGGGGGTCGAAGTCACAATACTGCACGATAAATTTCTTGCTACATTCCCATGGTTAATGTCCACTCACCAGTATGTAGATACTAGTCAATGTGCGTCTTTATATTTGGTCTTATAATCCTAATTAGTTTATTATCATTCTTGTATGCATTTTGAAACTAAATAAAAAGCAGACGATCTGCTGATACTTATAGTGAATTTATAACAGAACTGTAATATCTAGACATTTTATAGTTTGCCAATGTGAATCATAATTCGCACACACACCCTAGTGCATGTTGTCTGTCTCATTACACTTCACGGCGAAACAATGATTCTGTTGAATGCTACGACAAATGAATAAAAACAAAATGCAAATATAAAAATGTAAACAGATTAAAGTTATAGGAACAATATCAGGCCATTACCTTGTTCGAGGAATGTATCCATCAATATCCACAAAACTGTTCCAAATGATGTGTCTTTAACAGTTTAATATACGAAAAAGTGATAAATCTTTTTCAGGTATTGGTGTATAGTCTCATTGGTCACCCAAGATAGCACACCCTGGCAACTAATTGCATAATGTCCACCTTTCTTTAAAAACAGTAATTTAGTTAGCCAATAATGGGCAATCAATCAATGTATTGCTGGTTAATCCTTTGAAAGAAGGACGTTGTTTTACGCAGACACCGACACGACAGAGTGTATTCAGTATAGATTAGTAAATCTACATACATAAACACTACCTTTTGACAATTCCGCTGTGTAAGATAAAAGTAATTAATCAATCAGCGTGTTATCGGTTAATCCTTTGATCGATGTTTATAATGTTGAATATTTACTCCAGACACAAGAAATGCCAAATGGGAACCTTTGTCGGGTAATCTAAGTGTGTTACCACTAATTATACCTGTTATAAATTCATAAACTGACCATCAAGTGAATGATGACAAATAGCATGTGTAGGTTTATACCACCTAACACGGGTTACAACAAGGGAGTATTAATTGCTGTATTGCATGTGAAAACTTATGGGCCGACACTGTTTTGAGAATACAAACAGATTTTTACATGACATGATTAAATATCGAGGTAAAAAAACACAGAAATAGGATCAATTTGGATCAGTCATTATACCAATAGGGCCTAACGACACCAATCGATTTTGACAGAATCGTCTATGAAAACAAGTTGTAACTCGGAAATTAGGCAAAGCAGGAGACAAAATTAAATGACAGTAGATTGTGAGAACATATAGCTTCCATTTTCCACAACAATTGTCACGATTTCAGGTTTATACAAACCTGTAAACAAGATAATGAAACCCCTAAAATGTAGATGAATTCTGCATCGGCCCTCAAAGCTATTCCTCATATGACGTAACAGAGGCGCGCCGCTCTGTTCGGCTGAAATTTCGTTCGCGGGTGAGAATTGTGCACTGTTGTCAAAAAGGTCGATTTAAGTCAATTAAAGTTCGAAATGAGTAGTTTTAATGACGGGGTTTCATTTATAACGATGCCAGTTAGTGATTTATGTATTTGTACCCCCTAGGGTTTATGTGACCTTTAACATAATCATCTGCGGAACATCTTCGTTGAAAGCATGCATTAAAACCTTGCACTAGTTAACATCACTATAAAGATATACCAGGTGATATCTTTGGTTACATTTACTGACACCAGCAAGGAATTATTCGAGGGAGAAGATACGGAAGTGAAAAGTCATTCCGGTGACTCAAGCTATCATTCCTAAAAGATGTATCACGTATTATTTCGTTTGTACCTTCAGAGTTGTCTGTAATCTCAACAGTGACGTTATTGCTGACACGACTCCCACTCCGGCACTTCCACACAGAGCCCTGGTCGAGTGTAGAATTGATCATGAGTGTCACGTTGTGTTGTAGGGGGGAGGAGTTGACAGTAACACGTCCTGCCACAGCGCGGGAATCAATGGATGTGGTGGCGGGGTTGAGTATGGAAGTAGATACGTCAGCATCACTGCTTGTGCTGAACATTTCAACATTGTTTCTGTACCAGATGACATTTATAAACCCTCCACTCTGTGTGGTTGTACAGGACAGTGTGAACCCGGCTCCATCAACAGCAGACTGTGGGTAGCTCGTCAGATGCAGAGGAAGGGACGCTGAAACATGCACATTGTATGCTGGACTAAAATATATTGTATAATAGTATTGTTTAAAACATATCATCATTGTTTCTGTACCAGCTGACACCTATCAACCCACTGCTATATGTGGTTGTACAGGACAGTGTGACCTCGACTCCATCCACGGCAGACTGTGGGTAGCTCGTCAGGCGGATAGTGGCAGGCGCTGGAACATGTATCATGGCATCATAAGATGCTATGTACTTCTAAATTGATCATTCGAAACTCATTATTGTTCACTCGTATGCTGGGCACTGACCTGATGTCCCAAAACTCGCACACAAAAGCACCACAGCCAACCACATCATGACAACAAGTGACAAATGGCGAACAGATGGTATCTGTGAAAATACAAAATAGGAACATAATCATGTGAGGAACATCTTCGATGAAAACGGGCATTAACATCTCACACAAATTAATATCACTATACATGCTGAAGAAAAATGTATGTGTGATATTGTGGGTACATTTACTGAAACCAGCAAGAAGTTATTCGAGGGGGAAGATACGGAAGTGACAGAACGTAGAGCAGATCAGCAATAACGCCGTGTAAGATAAGGACACACGACGATTTTTGTTTTGTGGCCCTTGTGTTGTTTTGTTTGGTTTACCTACCGTGTTATGAAATAATCCCCTATATTTCCAGTTCTCCAGCCAAGCCGAACAGACACAACCTTCACTGAGACGACATAACAGCAAACCCGGAAGTGATACACAGCGACAGGGTGGGTAGTGACATGGAACGTTGAGCTGAATGTACTGTTTACAAACCTTTACAAAACTTAACGTGGTTGTTGATGGAAATAGGTCAGAGAAAAGCTTCAATGTAATGTTGCAATACAAATGTGTATAGGCGTTTAATGGAATCATCCAGGACTCGAATGTTCCTTGTTGTGTCGGCATCAGTGTCACTGTTGCTTTGTGTTTGGTCATCGTTACGACGAATAGATGTGTGTAAATTCGGACAAAAGAAAAAGCTTTGATTGTCTGAATTTGGACAAAAGAAAATTCTTTGAATGCTTCTGACGTTGATTCTGCCAGCTTATCAGCAAGTGATCAACATACTTTTTGTCATTATTATTAGTACCTGTTTATGAAATATTGTGTTCTTTTCATCCGTTCATCCACTGTAAACACTGCACATTCCAGGAACATTTCGCGAAATGGGAATGTTTTCTTCGCAGTTTTGTGTTAGCTGTATACGTATGTCTGATTGATCAATGATTTGTTTTTCATAAAAAGTATATGGTGTATTTGAAAAGTGCAGGAGACATGTACATGTAACACAGAATGGATTCATCTTTACTCTGCTGCGTTCTGTTCACCCAAGGTTCACCCACTGTGTAACACATGATCTGGATCAGACAAACGTTTCACAGATAATTTCAAAACTCGTTTATCATAAAGATACGACAGATTGTTAATGGAAACTACTGCTATTTTACCCGCTATTAAAACAACGTTTTCTAAACGAGATTTCTTAACCAGAGATAAGGAGCCGAACCAACATTGGCACAAACACGTTTTAAATCAAATTAAAACGGTTTCAACGAAACAATGATAAGAAAGGGATAATACACGTTCAGTAACGTTAATAGTTCCCAACTTGGGCAGATATGTAGGCTGATTGTGGGGCTGATAGGTAGGCTGATTGTGGGGCTGATAGGTTGGCTGATTGTGAGGCTGATTGTGAGGCTGATTGTGAGGCTGATTGTGGGCTGATAAAGCTTTTAAAAATAATTTTGATAGTAAAACGTTCAAAAGATTTTATGGTAGTTCGGAAAAGCAGAGGGGTTTAGAGATCGCAGCCATTTAGAGATCGCAGCCATATAGCTGAAATATTGCTAAGTGCGGCGTTGAATAACAAGGACACAAACAATATCATGAGTTTGTAACGGCACACCTTTCACTATAGCGCGAGTAACCGCAGTACACGTTAACTGTATAACTATAAGTGTTTTTCCAGCTCAACATGCGAGTGAAGGTGTTTGTGACAACCTGCGTTGTGGGGTCATGCTCACATTATGTGTACTCGACGGGTTACACCCAGCAAATATAATGCGTTGCATTGTTGTGAGATCGTGTGTGCAATATTGAATCTCTGCAATAATACAGCCTCAGAACTTCAGTATTTACAGGAAGTGACACTGATAGCATGACGTGCCTGTCAAGACCAGGTTGGTTCTTTTTAACCTGCTGCAAACAGAATGTACATGAACATATCACGTTAAAAATATTGTGAGTGGATGTACACTTTCCTGAGACCTGACAATTTTATCTATATTCATCAGTGATCCTTTCATCGTGTGTAAATGTTTCCTGTGTTGCACATACATGTATACAATGTGGCTGAATGTAACATTTTGACAGCCATGAGTCACCGTTCACATACATGTCACATAGAATCTGGCGTTATGTGTGTATGTGGCTATATCGGTATCACACAGTCAGAGGGAGGAATATTAATGCTGGATTTGATCAGCTACAAATCTGAAACTACTAGGCATGTCAATACTCCTTACAAATAAAGTTTCATTGACGGTTTTGTTATTTGAATTAAAAAATATACAAATCTGAAACTACTAGACATACCAATACGCCTATTTACATATATTTTTATTTACAGTTTGTGTTATTAACATGAAAAACTGTACAAATCTGAAACTGCAAGAAATGTCAACAACCCTACTCATTGCATTGACAGTTGTGTTATTTAAACGAAAAAACTGCATATATATGAGAGAGTCACATATTGTACATCGAGAATTCAGTAAACTGAACATGTTCAATTGTGGAAAAGAAAGATATCAAACAGTGCCTAAGACGAATACATCGAGATATCCGTCAAAACACATATCATCATTTGACCGTATTGAAGGCAGAGTTTAACGACCGTCAACAGCATAACACAAAATCAAAACAAGGAAAATAATGAAGCATGGGTTGCTATCCCGCATGGCACCTCTATAACAAGCATGGGTTGCTATCCTGCAAGGCACCTCTATAACAAGCATGGGTTGCTATCTCCGCATGGCACCTCTATAACAACCCTGGGTTGCTACCCCGCAAGGCACCTCTATAACAAGCCTGGGTTGCTATCCCGCATGGCACCTCTATAACAAGCCTGGGTTGCTATCCCGCAAGGCACCTCTATAACAAGCATGGGTTGCTATCCCGCATGGCACCTCTATAACAAGCATGGGTTGCTATCCCGCAAGGCACCTCTATAACAAGCATGGGTTGCTATCCCGCATGGCACCTCTATAACAAGCCTGGGTTGCTATCCCGCAAGGCACCTCTATAACAAGCATGGGTTGCTATCCCGCAAGGCACCTCTATCACAAGCCTGGGTTGCTATCCCGCATGGCACCTCTATAACAAGGCATGGGTTGCTATCCCGCAAGGCACCTCTATAACAAGCATGGGTTGCTATCCCGCTAGGGCACCTCTATAACAAGCATGGGTTGCTATCCCGCATGGCACCTCTATAACAAGCCTGCAGTTTGCTATCCCGCAAGGCACCTCTATAACAAGCCTGGGTTGCTATCCCGCAAGGCACTTCTATAACAACCCTGGGTTGCTATCCTGCAAGCACTCCTATAACAACCCTGGGTTGTTATCCCGCAAGGCACCTCTATAACAAGCCTGGGTTGCTATCCCGCAAGGCACCTCTATCACAAGCATGGGTTGCTATCCCGCAAGGCACCTCTATAACAAGCCTGGGTTGCTATCCTGCAAGGCACCTCTATAACAAGCATGGGTTGCTATCCCGCAAGGCACCTCTATAACAACCCTGGGTTGCTATCCCGCAAGGCACCTCTATAACAAGCCTGGGTTGCTATCCCGCAAGGCACCTCTATCACAAGCATGGGTTGCTATCCCGCAAGGCACCTCTATAACAAGCCTGGGTTGCTATCCCGGGCTAGGGCACCTCTATAACAAGCATGGGTTGCTATCCCGCATGGCACCTCTATAACAAGCCTGGGTTGCTATCCCGCAAGGCACCTCTATCACAAGCATGGGTTGCTATCCCGCAAGGCACCTCTATAATAAGCATGGGTTGCTATCCCGCAAGGCACCTCTATAACAAGCATGGGTTGCTATCCCACAAGGCACCTCTATAATAAGCATGGGTTGCTATCCCGCAAGGCACCTCTATAACAAGCCTGGTTGCTATCCCGCAAGGCAACCTCTATTACAAGCCTGGGTTGCTATCCCGCTAGGCACCTCTATAACAAGCATGGGTTGCTATCCCGCAAGGCACCTCTATAACAAGCATGGGTTGCTATCCTGCAAGGCACCTCTATAATAAGCATGGGTTGCTATCCCGCAAGGCACCTCAATAACAAGCCTGGGTTGTTATCCCGCAAGGCACCTCTATAACAAGCATGGGTTGCTATCCCGCAAGGCACCTCTATAACAAGCATGGGTTGCTACCCCGCAAGGCACCTCTATAACAAGCATGGGTTGCTATCCTGCAAGGCACCTCTATCACAAGCCTGGGTTGCTACCCCGCAAGGCACCTCTATAACAAGCATGGGTTGCTATCCCGCAAGGCACCTCTATAACAAGCCTGGGTTGCTATCCCGCAAGGCACCTCTATAACAAGCCTGGGTTGTTGGATACCTGTAACCTGAATTGTCACATCTATCTGCCTCATTCCATCGGTTTTACATCCTAACACATACATTTGAAAATATATTTTTAAAATCAATTCGTACAATGAATTCCTACAAGAATTTCAGGAATATTTATATCTTACACTTTTGGATTTTCACAGTTGAACGAAACAGCTGCAGTCAAATTTATAACCATTTTTCGCATTTTATAGACGACACACAAAATCCTATTAAGAGCATTGATATTCCAACTTAACCATGACTATTATTATACAACCTGTCAACTGTGCGGCGCCCCATCAACATTTATATCTTTGTACAGTGCACTGTATAATGGGCCTGTGGCCCCTCTACTGCAATAAAGCCATTCATTCATTCATTCATTCATTCATGATTAAAAGTCCACATTAGACTTTTTTTTTTTAAATTTTTACACTTTATTACATTAATGACAAAAAGTCCATATTTAACCTTTTTTACATTTTTTACATATTCTTTTAAACTTTATTACATTAATGATAAAAAATCCACGTTTGACTTTTTTTCACTTTTTTCTTTGTATTTGTTTCTTTTGCTACCTATTGATTCAATAAAGATTTATCCCTTACGACTTGTCTGAAATCTATAATTGAAACTTCGAGGCGAACAGCTTCCAAACAGAGAACACTTGCCATATATGGAATGTTAACAATTGCTCCGCACATCGAAAACTGTCACACGCGGTGTTGTCGGTGCTTGCCAAATTGGTTTTAATCACAAGTTGCGCGTATGTGTTTTGCGCCAGACATTAGCGTCTGCTCAGTGGCTAAATTCTGTCGCCAAAGTAATCAAAGGATATTCGTAAAGAGCGCTTAATGAGGCATAACTCTATGGGGTTGACTTGAAATATTGTTCGGCCGGTAGAGGGCGCGAGAGTCAATTTAATACAACCTTGCATTAATTCATTCGAACTTTTTTATTTCATATTTAATTTCGTATGATCTAAATTCGTATTTTTTTTAGATAAATTATGTGGTAGCTTCCCTGAGGGCTGATAGGTATTATTATTGAGAGAAATGCATTATATGAATATATTATTAGAGAAGTGTGGTGTGAAATAGTGCATTTAAGTTTAGACTTACATTAGCTTATATTCACCTATGGTAACGCGTGGATGTAATGTGTTACGAAACAATTCTAAAATAATCAATTGTTTTTGCAGAGTTGACACTTTATAAGGAAATCATCAGCAAACAAATTTAGCAGTATATTGATGTGCTGAATGACAAATATTCACTGATAACAGTTTAGCCAATTCATCAATAACGAAAGTAAATAACAAGGGATTCA